AGCAGCAGCAGCAGCAGCAGCAGCAGCAGCGAGGACGCCCGCAGCAGCAACAAGGGCGACACCCGCTGCAGCGGCAGGGATGGCCCCAGCAGCGCCACTCGAGATAACAGCAGCAGCTCTGAAAGGAACGCCAGCAGCTGCAGCAGCAACAGTCAACCCAGCAGCAGCAGCAGCAGCAGCAGCAACGTAAGTGTGGAGGACCTGTGCAGCATAGCCCGTGCTGTGGCTCGTCTGCAGCTGCAGGTGGGCACTGACAATTTGCTGCGGTCTTTGGTGCTGCTAGGAATGGCAAGAGCAGCAGAATTTGGACTTTTTGCTGCTGCAGACTTTTTGCTGTCTCTCGCAGCAGCAGCAACAGCAACCTACAGGCCCATACAGAAAACTATTCTCAAGGCCTTCAGGAAGCACTGGGCCGACGCTTTCCTTGCTGCTGTTGCTGCTGTTGCTGCTGCTGCTGCTGCCCGCAGCAGCAGCAGCAGCAGCAGCAGCAGCGGCCAGCGCGCCCCAGCGGGCGCTGACTTGCGCCGCGTGCTGCTGCTGCTGCTGCCGCTATTTGCTGCTCATGATGCACTGGGAGAAGAAATGCCAGTTTGTTTAGAGGCACTTGTCAGCAGCGGCTTGTGGGCAGCAGCAGCAAGGGAAGCAGCAGCAGCAGCAGCAGCAGCAGCAGCACTCGGGCCAGGGGAGCTGGTGGCAGCAGCAGCAACAGCTGCTGCTGCTCCGCAGCTGCAGCAAAACAGGGAGTTCTGGGCGGACATCCGAGCAGCAGCAAAACGCCACGCGCAAACCCTAAACCCTAGAGATGCCATAACACTGTGTTCAATTCTCGACCAGGTCAATACTCCAAACCCTAAACCCTAAACCCTAAACCCTAAACCCTAACCCCGAACCTTGAATTCTCGTCCTAAACCCTAATCGTCAATCACTAGGTCTTCACAGAGTGCAGGAAGCTGCATGCAAAGGGAAGAAGCAGCCGTAGCTGCGGAGTGCTCGAGGGTTTAGGGTCTAGGGTTTAGGGTTTGAGGGTTTGCAGGTGGGCGAGGACTACACGGATGTGCTGCTGCGCTCGTGGCAGCTGCTGCAGGAGCAGCTGCCGCTGCTGCCTTCTTCAAGTGTCTTTACAGCAGCAAGTCTTGCTGCTGCTGCTGCTGCTAAGCAGCCGAAGCTGCTGCAGCTCCTCTCGCTGCTGAGGCAGCAGCTGCTGCTCCGAGCAGCTAATTCTTGAACCCTCACCCCAAACCCTGAACCCTAAACCCTAAACCCTCGATGGAGTGCAATAGAGGCCTGGGGGTAGGGTTTGAAGGAGCTATGGGCTGTCTATACACTTCAGCTTAAAACATGAATTTGTAGAAAAAGGAAAAGGTTTAAAAATAAAAAAAGAAGAAACAGGCAAAAACAGACATATTGCGACAGCAGCACCAGCAGCTGCTGCTGCAGCTGCTGCTGCTGCTGCCGCAATATGTCTGTGATTGCCTGCTGCCTCTTTTTTTATTTTTAAACCTTTTCCTGTTTTCTACAAATTCATGTTTTAAGCTGAAGTGTATAGACAGCCCATAGCTCCTTCAAACACTACCCCCAGGCCTCTATTGCACTCCATCGAGGGTTTAGGGTTTAGGGTTCAGGGTTTGGGGTGAGGGTTCAGCGCCGCGCCCGCGCTGCTCGGGCTGCTGCTGCTGCTCCAAGGAGGCCAGCAGCAGCTCCGGCTGCTGCTGCAGCAGCAAAGCAAAAGCCTGCGGTGTCTGCATGCGGTAGCGACAGGCCCCACAGTACAAGTCGAGGAGCTTTTTGGTGCGCCCGGTGTACATACGCCAGGGCGCCATGGTGAATTGGCCCGAAACTACAGCGCAGCCATTGCAGTCCGGCGCTGCTGGGGGCCCTTGCGGGGGCCCTTTGAGGGAAATTCTGTTTCTTATTAATTCAATTTAATTAAATATTTATAATTAAACTCTTTTTTTCGCCAAAGGGCGAATGTGCGCAGGAAACGGCCGCTATTCAGGTTGGGTATGTGGGGGCCCCCGAGAAGGCGCGTGGGCCCCGCTGCCCGCCCGTGAGCGGAAACACTTGGAAATTCCCTCAAAATGGATTAATTATTTATTTATAATTCAGTATTGTGTGCAATTACGAGGAAACGGACATGCAAATGCAGATACGAATGCACATGACGCTAGGGGCAGTGGGATGGCGGTGCTTCCCTGCAGCTGGAGCAGCAGGCAGCAGCAAATGCCTCACGAGTAGTGACACTCCCGCGTGAATTTGAATTTTAAAAAGTCAAATGAATTTAAAATTTAAAAAGTAAATTAATTTTTAAAAGTTACTTCGTCCATTTACTTCTGCTGCCTGGACACTGCCAGCCCTCGTAACCGTGAACAACTCGTGGGTTACAGAGTATTCTGAATTCATGCAAAGCCTATTCAAATTAATTTTACCTTTTGAATAATAAATTTTGCGAAAATATTTCGAAAGATATGTCAATTAGCAGCACTAACTTGCAGACTGAAAAAATGAAAAACAAGAAATCAGTTGGCAACTGAAAAGCTTTAAGCCTCTGCATCTTCCAGAGACTCTACAGACGCCTCAGAAAGGCACGAGGTGTCGCCTTCGGTGGCGCTGCCGTAGTTGCTGCCTGCTGTTGCAGCAGCAGCAGCAGCAACTGTTGCTGCTGCTGCAGTTCTCGCAGCACTGACACTGCTGTGTGGGCGCTCGAAGCGTCCAGTGCCCTTGTTCACTACACCCAGGTCTCCCAGCTGCGGCGGCAGCTGCTGCAGCTGCAGCTGCTGCAGCTGCTGCTGCTGCTGCCGTCGTTGCTCCCGTTGCTGCTGCTGCTGCTGCTGCTGCTGCGTACTAAGGACCAAAGACAGGTCTGGTGCTGCGCTGCTTCTGGGAGACAGAGAAGCTGAAGGAGTGAGGGATAAAGAGCAGCGGGAGACGCGGGGAGATAGGCCCCTGCTGCGCCTCGTGGCTCGCTGCTGCAGCAGCGACACAGGCTGCTGCTGCTGCTGCTGCTGCTTCTGCTGGAGCTGCGGCTGCAGCAGCAGCTGCTGCCGCAGCAGCGCCTTCAACGCAGCCACCGCCTCCACCACCTCCTCTCTGGGCGGGAACGCTGCTGCCGCTGCTGCTGCTGCTGCTGCATCTGCTGCTTCTGCTTGGGAAGAGATGGGCAGCAGCTGGCTCATGGTGAGGGGCCCCTCCTTAGCAGCAGCTCGCTGAGCTGTCTGTACAGCTGCCTTGGGGGACGGTGGCTGGGGGTTAAAAAGAGCCGCTGCAGCATCTGAGTTCATAAATAAATAAATAAATAAATAAATAAATGAATAATTAAATAAATAATAAGTAGATAAACAAATAAACAAAAGACATTGAATATATCTGTCAACTTCTGTAACTTCCATCTCTCTTTTGCTTCCTGCTTGGCTGTCTGTGTCCTTTATTTCATTTCTGCATTTGTCTGTAAGTTTGCTTCCACACATTGTAGATGCAGCAGCAGCAAGCAGCAGCTGCGCTGCAGCAGCAGCTGTTGCTGCAGCAATATGCCTGGAGAGGCAGCGTAAAACAGAAGCAACAAAATGAAGGCACTAGCAGCAGCAGCAGCAGCAGCAGCAAGCGCCTACGTGGTAGCAGGTCGAGCACTTTAAATGTGATTTTGTCTCCGCATGCATCTTGAATTAAACCGACAAGAGAAAGCAGCTGCTGCATTATGAAGGCATAGCTGTGCTGCAACAGCAAAAAGGAAGAAGTGGAAACGCGACGGCGGGGACCCCCAAGCAGCATCGAAAAGCCCAAAGAAATGGAAACACTTTCTGCTGCAGCACCTGCAGCCACAGCAGCAAGAGCCGCAGCCGTAGCAAGCAGCAGCACCCGTAGCAGCAGCAAGTGGCAGCACCGTAGCAGCAGCAAGCAGAAGCAGCAGGGGCAGCAACAGCAGCAGCAGCAGCAGCGAATAAACAACAGGTGCTGGCAGCAGCTGGAGAGGCAGTTGACGAATACAAAGCGACTAGAGAGGGAGACAAAGACGAAAAAAGAATAAATTAACAAAAAAGAAAAAAGAAACAAAGTTAAAAAAGAAAAAGAATAAAATAAACAAAAAGGAGAGGCAAATTCAAAAAGACAAACACCCGAGGCACACAGAAGAAGGATGAAAGCTAGGGGGAGCAGCGCAGGCAGCCCGGAGGCCAATTCTTGCAAAGAGAACAAAGAAAGTGCAAAAATTTGAAATAAATGAACAATTAAATATATTTTAAATATAAATAAAGTCATTAAATGCAAAAAAGTGAATTAAATTACCCTTTTCGGCCGCCTCGGGCTGAGAAAGCGGCAGAAATGAAGGCTTGGAAAGCGAAGGCAGCAGCCGCCGCAGCGGGGCCAAAGTGCTCAGGTGTATGCGCAGCTGCTGCACTTCCTTTTCTAAAGAAAGACTTCTTTGGCGTTCGCGCTGCAGCTGTACATACACCCCAAACACAGGCAGCAGGAAGGTACACCCCAGCTGTAGATACACCCCAAACGCAGGCAGCAGGAAAGTACACCCCTTGTCCATATGCCCCAAACACAGGCAGCAGGAAGTCCCTTTACATCCCAACTGGACATACACCCCAAATGCACCAGCTGTACATAACCCCACATGCACCCGCTGTACATACATCCCATATGCACCAGCTGTACATACACCCCAAATGCACCAGCTGTACACGCAGACAGCCGCTGATGAAAACGCAAAAGCGAAATAACTCAAGGACAAAAAGAAATCCAAATGCTGTCTTAGACAAATTATTGGAGGGGCTGGCAAGGAGGCGGGAAACAGAAGAAGCAAATAGATGAAATTTAAATTGAAAAAAAGAAACAGGCAAGGCAAAGGAGCATAAAAACTAAAAAGAAAAATATAAATCAAACCATTTAAATCCTTTAAGTCTCTGACCTGAGAATGGAGAATGTCAACATAACGCAGCTTCTGTTTGGAGTTGCGGTGAGCCTCCCCGGGTTGCTGCAGCTGCAGCAGCAGCTGCTGCTGCTGCTCCCAGTCTATGATTGCTGCTCTTTTGGCCATCGCTGCTGCTTCCGCCCTCAGCTGCCGAGACAGCACGCGGTAGCAGTCAACATCCTTTTGCAGCTCCTGCTGCTGCTGCTGCTGCAGCTGCTGCGCTGCTGTCAGTTCCTGCACCTTCTGCTGCAGAGCTGCAGCATCACGAGCCTCTCGCACTGCTGCAGCTGCCGATGCCTGCGCATAAATACACCAATTCACAAATCCTAAACCGTAAACCCTAAGCCCTCGGCCGTTGCAGCATATGCAAAGAGCAGCAGTCCCTTCAAGCCATTCTGCTTCCAATTCTTTTCAGGCGTGTGCCCGTGTGCATCTGTGCTGCTGCGGCTGCTGCTGTCGCACCTCTGCCGTTTCCTTCTGCAGCAGCAGCAGCTGCTTCTCGCTGTTGAGTTTTCGCATGCGTTCTGCCTGCCTTTGCAGCTCCTGCTGCAGCTGCAGCGCTTCTGTCTTGTGATGCGCTGCTTTTTCTGCTAGCTGCTGCAGCTGCTGCTGCAGTGCTCGGCCCTCTAAGGTTCCCTCAAGCACCGCTGCGTGCTGCTCCTTCTGTTGCTGCAGCTGCTGCTCCAGATGCTGTATGCGCTCCTCTGCTGCTTGTAGCTGCTGCTGCAACTGCTGCTGCTGCTCTACCGACAAGAGTTGCTGCTGCGTCTCGTTCTCAGCTGCGGCATGCTGAAGCAAGCGCCGACGCATATCTTGAGACTGCTGCTGCTCTTGCTGCAGTTGCTGCTGCAGCAATTCCTGTTGTTCCTGCGCCTGCTGTAGCTGCACAGTTAGCTCCCCCACAGCAAGCAGTTGCTGCTCAGTTTCCTGTGCCTGCTGCTTTAGCTGCTGCAGCGTGTCAGAAAGCTCAATACCACGTTGCTGCAGCTGCTGCTGCAGCGAACGGATCTTCCCATTTGCTGCCAGTTGCTGCAGCTGCAACTCCTGCGTTTCCTGCCTCAACTGCTGCAACTCTAGGGCAGCAGCATCGCCCTTGCTGCTCTGCAGCAGCTTTTGTTGCTGCTGCTGCAACTGCTGCTGCAGCAGAGATGCCCTCTGCTTCTCCGAATCTAACTGCTGCTGCAAACGCTCGTGCTCTCTCCGGAGTGCTGCATTCTCTTGTATGGCGCGGTTGTGCTGCTGCTGCGTATCTTTGTGTTGCTGCTGCAGCTGCAGCAGCTCCTGCTGGTGTTGCCGCTCCTGCTCCTGCTGCTTTC